ATATTGATTTTTCGACAACTTTACCTTAACACTTTTGTATGCAGAACAATTAGAGGAATTATATTATGTAAAAAAAATCATTTAATTCCATTGGAAAAAACGTAATTGACCTTGAAATCTCCGAAACGCCTCTATCTCGACAAAAATTATTATCACCATATAATAGGTTTCGTACCGTGCAATTTTTCTAAAAAAAAAATTTTCCTTAGACCTTAGATTCCAAGATATTTTAGGTGCTAATAGTTACTGAGACATCCTTATATGTATATATTCTTTCGTGGTATATATATAATATAGAATATATAATAGAAATACTGTAAATATATGTACTGTATATATATTTTTTTAAGCGTACAGTTCGGACTACGCTTCCGAGGTGGAAACGTTTCTTCTCATTTAAATCTTTAGAGATTTTTCTCTTTACACGTTTTATATATATATATATATATATATATATATTTATATATATATATATATTTATACTTATTATAATATTTACTTTTGATATACTTGACGCTTATTAACATTTAATTCTTTCTTTTCAACAATGGGTTACTACAATGCAATTCAACTGATAAATCGCAGACACTTAAACGTAATGATGTACAACGTACATATATATACGATTATACCCTCTGATAACCGGCAGGCTTATTATTTTTTGATATTTAAAATCAAAAGAAATATATTCGGTAAAATGTGAAAGCACAAATTATCAGTATATAGTGTGATATAGTGAGTGTTGGTCGGATACTTTTTGCGTTTGTAATACTTGATTCGTGTAAAAATCAGACTTAATTTCCCGTGGTTCAGTAGAAAGTAAGTATGTGTATATACTATTTGTAGAGACGTCGTTAAGAAAGATCAATGCCGGTGACAAATCAATATTTGTCCGTTGTGTTAATCAGTGTTTGATACTAAGCGAAAAACATTTTGTGTTTGCTTTCTTTACACACATTATGTTTCAATTTGTTTAGCATATATGAATTATACACTCGACAAAATACACAGCGATAACGACAATCAATACGCTGTCGCGATTAGCATGCTCGTTCGCAGGGATATTAGGCCTTTTCGTTCAGCCAGTAAGCTATAAACACGGTGTATTTTAAATACTCTAGGCCATATTTTTCACACAATGACAGATTTACGCTTCCAATGTATGTAATTCTTTTTTTTCTCAAAGAGGAGGAAGAAGAAGCATAATTATGAGAGAAATATGAGAAAACCTGAGAGAAAGATAGCTTCTTCCAAGGAAACGATTGGAACTGTTGTTTATCAACAAGATGAACTTTGGATACATACGTTGCAGAGCATCAAAAAGAAAGTTAGACACGTATTTTTTTCTCATTTGTTTATCTCTAAGGTTTAAGAGCTGAAATTAATGATTAGGGGTAAGGGTAAATTTAAAAAATAGTAAAATACACCGTTATAAAGAGTATAAAAAAACCATAAAACTTTTGTATAAAATTTTTTCATGTATCTCGAATAATTTCGAAGATATTCCCTAAAAATGAAAAAAAATTCGTTAACTTCAAGGGGTTATTTTAATCCTTAATTCTTCTTCTCTTAATTTCTAAATTATAATTTTTAAGATAAGTAAGTAAAAAAGTAAGATAAAACACGCATTTAATATTTTTCTGTTGCTCTGTATGACATACATATCCAAAGTCCGTCAAAATCGATAAGGAATAGTTTCGACCGTTCCTTTGTTAGTAAAGACGACGGATTTGATCAGCATACTTGGACTTGATAATTGTCTTCTCGAGTTGTGTCTTATCTTAAAATATTAGTTTGTACGTTTAATTATTGATCTGTTAAAGCGAAACGCGAGATCTGTCTCTGCTTTTGCTTCACAGCTTGGATCACCTTTCCTTTATTGTAACTTCGCGGAGAGTCTGTATTAACGCAGTATTTTAAAAATACGTCTAAATTGGTTCAGGTATCCAAAATTAAGAAACAGTTGGATCACGCGTATAGCGCAGAGTGTTGTGCAATAAACAAAAATACAAGTGCATATAGTGCTTGGTTAGTGCTTATTAGGGATATATAGAGAATATTTACCATTATTATTTCTCTTTCTTACTTTCTTTTCCTCGAGTATCGACATTCGAGGCGAAATGTTAATCTTTAACGTTCATCAATATATCTATATAAAAGTGCAGAAGAACGGTTTTTTAATGAGTCGTTGAATTTTTTCTTTTTTTTTTTTTTTTTTTTGTTGAGACGGGAAATGCATGTCATTTTTTGCCATTTTACATATAATATCGCTATACGTTTTGTATATGTATATGGTTACTCGACTGTTTGTTATGACGTAACATGACGACAGATTGTATTTCCTTCGATCAAGGACGCGCGAATTATTCGGGCAATCAAATGGCTAGATCGTAATGACGATCGAACTAGTGTAACGTGTGCCACTCAGCAATTTGCTTCCTCGGAGACTGCGTCATTTGAAGCCAGTGCTCTCGTCCTTGACTGTTACCGCTGTCCGCACCTGTGGCCGGTCCAATAATGCAGGATCCGACGATGGCGTTTCCACCGATCAGTTCGCTGCTCGAGTCCAGCACGCATATCTTACACACACGTAATTAATTATAATTAATTATTTTTGTATCGTTTGACCTACGTCTGCTGGTTGTGCAATATCTTTAAAATATCATATATAGCGACTGTTATATGATACCTCTATAGCCGACGATGCAAGTAATGAGGCAGGTATATTAAACGACATTGCTTCGTTCCAAACGGGATTCATCGTTGCCCTCCTAACAGCTGTTTTTTTCTTCTTCTTTACTCTTCTTTCTCCACAGAGGAGACTAACTTTCGCGAATGGATCCAATGTCTCCTTATCCTGCATCATATATCATTCAAAATGCTTACTATGAGATAATCATTAAATCATTATATGTATATAAATACACTGGTCCAAAAAATTAAAGGATCACCTGTTCTAGCCTCCAAAAATAGGCAAAATTCAAGAGAGTGTAACTTCGTCAAAAATGATCGTATCGAAATGATCAAAAAAGCATTTTACAG